GTTTCATAGATTGTAGATGAATATGGGAAATGATGGTAATTGATCGTTGCTTGGTTGGTTGGTTCAATGGAATCGATTTCAGAATCGATCTGATTGTATTTGTGACTGCGAATTACATGTCAACTGTTGACTGGAAAACACATTATTCATTGATGAGACTTGGTTCTGATTTAGAATTGTGTTTGTTGTAATAGTTCCTAGACCATCTGTTGTATGTCCAATCTCTTTTACAATTTGACTGGACTACTTAATGAATTACCACACTACTTGACTCAGTTCGTACACAGATTAATCGACTGATGATTTGATTTAACTACTCGAAATGGTCACAATCATCATTGTACAACGAATTGATCGTATTTCAGTTCAAGGTTTCTCATTGACCAATCTCACTTACTATCCGTCGTTCAATTAATCAGGCTCAAATGGAAATGACGTGTTTATTGATGTTTGAGCAATCAAACTATCAGAACATTGTCAAATCTATGTGTTTGTAATTCCACTAACGAATTGAAGTTGATGCTTTGATAGTTGACTATTGAGTAAGCATAAAACAATACATCGAAATCATCATCATCATCATCATCATCAACACTAACAACGCTGACATACTTGCTTATTACAATCATCTCTCCTGATCTATTCACATTAAGTTAACAGTGAGCATAGAGTTATTGTGGCATTTATTATGATTTGTTTCTGTTCAGTTGTATCCTAATCAAGCATGAATAGTGTAGTAAAGTAGAGTATTGATGATGTGTGGTGGGGTGTTTTAAAACTGTTAATTTGATACATTGTGGTGAAAATCTTGCTGATGGAAATCTGGTGATTCTCCACTTTCGATATTATTTTGAGTACTGCTATCGAAATGCAACTCCTCCTGTAGCTCTTCTAGAGTTACTGCGGGTCTCAAGCCCAGATAAAGGAGAAGGGTTGGGCATAGGGTTAGCGTCCCCATCCCGTAGAAAACTAAATCGCTAAAAAAACGCTAACCAGAAAAAATAACTCAAACCATTTCAACTCTGCCCTGGGAGTTAGAAGGTCTACATTTTGAAGAAATATGACACTTGTAGGATAGGAATCTCACGGAACAGATTGGCAGAGTACTTCGAGGAACTCCTGAATAGGCCGGCTCCAATGAATCCACCGGACATCGAAGCAGCACACACAGATCTTCCTATAGATGTCGATCCACCAACGACCGAAAAAATCAGAATGGCCATCAGACAAATCAAGAGCGGGAAAGCAGCAGGACCCGACAATATACCAGCTGAGACACTGAAGTCAGACATCGAAATAACTGCAAGCATGCTTCATCTTCTACTCAAGAAAATTTGGGAGGAGGAACAAGTGCCGATGGACTGGAAAGAAGGACACCTCATCAAGATTCCAAAGAAAGGAGACCTGAGCAAGTGTGAAAATTACAGAGGCATTACACTACTGTTAATACCAGGAAAAGTCTTTAACAGAGTGTTGCTGAACCGGATGAACGAGAAGATTGTCAATATTATCCGGAACTCATACGACGGACTACAGTGCAAAGTAGTGCATGGAGGACAGCTGACAGATGCATTCCAAGTAAGGACCGGAGTAAGACAAGGCTGTCTACTCTCTCCCTTCCTCTTTCTTCTGGTGGTCGACTGGAATATGAAGACTTCGACATCTGAGGGAAAATATGGCGTACAATGGACGGCTCAGAACAAATTAGACGATTTGGACTTCGAAGATGATCTAGCCCACCTATCGCATACACACAAACAAATGCAGATAAAGACAGTCAGCATAGCAGCAGTCTCTGCATCACTAGGCCTCAACATACACAAGGAAAAAACCAAGGTCCTCAAATACAACACAGAGAACAGCGATCCGATCACTCTTGATGGCGAAACTCTGTAAGATGTGGAATCCTTCACATACCAGGGAAGCATCGTCGACAAACAAGGAGGTTCAGATGCAGACGTAAAGGCGAGGATTGGCAAAGCAAGGACAGCATTCCTTCAATTAAAGAACATATGGAACTCAAAGCAACTGCCTGTCAACCAATATCAAAGTCAGAATCTTCAATACGAACGTCAAGGCAGTCAGTTCTACTGTACGGAGCTGAGACGTGGAGAACTACAACAACCACCATCAAGAGGGTACAGGTATTTATCAATAGCTGTCTACGCAAGATACTCAACATCCATTGGCCGGATAGGACATACACTGAGGAAATCATCAAACTGCATCATGAGTGAAGCCCCAACTTTTAATCCTGAATGGAAGAGGAAAACAGGAAGGCCAAAGAACACATTACGTCGGGAAATAGAATCAGATATGAAAAGGATGAATAAGAACTGGAAAGAGCTGGAAATGATTGCCCGGGACAGGGTTGGATGGAGAATGCTGATGAGCGACCTATGCTCCTTAACGAAGGGTTACAAGCGAAAGTAAGTAAGTAAGTAAGTATCGAAATGCACATGATCACGAAATTCCGATCGATGATTCAAAGAGACAGAAACAAGAGAGGAGATTTAATCTCTTTGAGTGGTCTGATCACATCACATCACATTTTCTTCAACATGCACACCACACAAATGTTACAATTGAAATTTTCATATGAATTGATTGAAATAAGTAATTGAATGAACCGGAAATCAATTCATCCTATCTGTTACCTTCTTCGCATTCTATCAATGACATTGTCACGAGCATGGTAGATAAACAGATAAAAAGAAACATGGATAGATGGATAGATAGATAGATAGATAGATGGATAGACGTTCGAACGGAGAGAACGGAAGTATCATTCAAAGTACACCACTGGTAATCTCTCTCTCTCACACACACACCCTCTCACTGTGTTTATTTCTGTCTTTTTTCCTCCATCGCGTAAACACACACACACACGCACACGCAGACGGTTGGAAACAAATTGACAATACACAGTGGAAACGGAAACCCGTGAATACATTCATGCAATGTAATGCCAATCACAACTGATCTGGTATGTAATGAGAGGATTCATCAAATTCACATTGAGTGGGAATATAACGGAAGAGTATTTGCTATTTTGAATGGTAGAGTGTAGTGTGGTTGACGAAATGAAATGTGAAATTTAAATATGAATAGAGCTAACCATGTGATATGCATGCTGCCTACCATCGTATATGATTATCAACTTATTTCTCATTAGATGATAACTACGTTGAATCAGTGAAATATGAGAATGAATATTGATGCAAAGAGAGAGTGAGATAGACGACGTGGAGAGGCAGACTGAAGACAGCAAGTGTGTTTGTTCTATTTGACAAGGAGTGATGCACTCTCTGTTGCCAAACAAAAGTAAACTGTAGACAAGTGATGATGAAGCTGAATGGGTTAGGTGATATACTCAATCGTACGCTCATATAAAATCAGTCAATGTGAATAAGTGAATCAATGACAAGGTGAAAATGTGAGTGAAGACAAATGAATGAGTTGGTGAATCTGGAAACCAGATTAACACTTGTGGACTTGATTTGGGACTAGACACGACATATTCACTTTCAGAACATGATTTTCTCAACTGTTGTTGTTTATGAATTTTCGATATATTCACATGACATGTTGATTATCTCTGATTCCATCCATCTAAGCAATTACTCGGTTCTATCGATAGTTCAATGAACACGTTCAGATGGTGTTCAATAGATATATGGGTAATCGTGAAGATGACCTAATGTAGCACAATCAGACGATGGTGATTTTATGTTCTTTGAAACATGGAATCTAAATGAGTAAAATTTAAGACGTTGGTAACTTGTGGAAGTACAAATATATTAGGACATGGACAGTGGTGGACGGGTGTTACACCAATCATCTGAATTCATACAGCCTGACAGAGAAATCTCAGATGCCGAGTCGGTGCAAGTGATCAACGTGCTTGACCGAGCACATCCAACAAACTAACTTCATTGAAACAAGAATGCATATTATGAATGATGATGATGATGTCTGTTAAACACTGTATCCAATATGAATGAGTAGAAAATTCATTCAGGTAAGTTGATGTGTGAGTACAGTAAGTTGAGGTATTTGGCAAACATACTGGTCGAAATGTTTGAGAGAAATCAAGTGAAGATATATTCCAGTCACATATCCACTTCCTATTGTTCAGTCGATCCACAGTTCCTTCCAACCCTACCTAGTTGGATATATCTATCACTATGGATTGGTGATTACACAAACACGTTGAATATTATGAACTTTCTCGAATTGACGGACTGATCGATCTCAGGTTACAACTTCAATAATTAATTGCAACATTGCGTGATCATTATTCAACGTGATATGATCAAACAATGAATTCGATGTGGGTTATTGTCTGTGAATCGGAATGTTTGTACATTCGATTTTTAGAGTTGATAATTGAGATACGAGATATGATTAGTTCCAAGTGTGTGTGTGTGTGTGCTTGTGTGTTTGTGTGTGTTATTCACTACACATGTATTCTCAAGTATGTGTCAGTTCACATTGTGAATATGTACCTGATTCAATGTATCAGTGAGAATTGAACATTGTGTTTTCTACGTTGATTGAAGGAAGTTGAAATGAGTGATTGGATCCACTTTGAGTAATTTAAGGTGTTATTTTGAAATGTTTGATGATAAGTGTGAAATCGGTTTTTCACATGTGTTTGTTCAAAGAGATCGAATACAACAATGACATCAAGTGTTGTGTATAATTTATGCAGAGAAATGAATGTAACAAGATATTCCTGGACGAATGTTTAACCATAAACAACACTGAAGTTTAGTGAAAACCATAAACCAAACTATCATGATTGAAGAACGAGAAGGAACTGAAACTTCCATCGTAGAAATCAAACAGAATCGTATTGAAACGACTACTGAAACGTTCTCTTCTAATCAATACACTTGAAAAGATGAAGAATTGTATTATCATGGTCACGAATTCATGAATAATGACGTCTCACTTCTTACACAATGTCAGCTCATGTTTTTTCGTGTTGATCTAATCTAGTTATGATGATTTTCATATTCATCAAACTCCAAACAAACCTCTTCCAAATCATTCGCTTGACAAGATGGAATGCAAAATGGGCTATTGACGGAAATACAAGATGAATTGATTGTTCGTGTGGGAATGAATTTCTGTGATTGCAGACTATTCTTTTGTTGTAATATGGATTCCATTTTATGAAAATCTATTAATTCCACATTTTCAGGATCTGAACATGTTACACTGTTGACAATAAAGTTGGACATTTCTGGAATCCATTAACAGATTCCTGAGTTTGTTTTTATCAACTTGTGTCTTCTGTTCATCACAATTCTAAAACTGTTGTTCAGAAATATGATATTGATGAAATCATGTTTAGTGTGTGGTGCCCTTTATTTTGTCGTCATTTAGATCAGACAATGTTCTTCGAAGGGTTCTCTACTTAAATGGCTCGAGATCTGACTCCAAGTAGATCTCATGAATAGTTATTATTGAATTGTATATGTCGCCTAACCTTGTATATCTTTATCGACTTAATCCCCTGTTAGTCGATAACAGAAATAAATAAGTCAAACAACGAGAATGGACTTTTGAATACATCTATATATTTTGTATATGAAGCGAATGGAATAGAAAGAAGCGAAACGACGCGTAGTGGAGATGGCGGATAAGCCAACTCCATTTAATCAAGCGTTAATCAATATTTACAGACATGTAATGAGTAATAATAATAAACACATTTCACTGAAATGTTAATATTGAAAATGCAATCTTCCTTGTTCAGAGTGGAAGTAAAACATCACTGATTACTATCCAGATTCGAGATTCGATGTTTTGTCATCGGTACATGTGAACGAGACGGTGGTTTGATTGAAGTTACATCTATTTCCAAATGTTTCTATTCACATATATTTCATTTGAGTGACGAAGTGATTTCTATCAAGTCCGCCTGTAACTGTTCTAGAGTTACTGCTGGTCCCAAGACCGGGTAAAGGAGGAGAGTTGGGCATGGAGTTAGCGACCCCATCTCGTAGAAAACTAACTCGCTAAAAAGCGCTAAACATAAAAAAAATCCAAGCTATTTAAACTCTGTCCTGGAAGTTAGAAGGTCTTCATTTAGAAGAACAATGACGCCTTATGGTGAAAGCCGATTTCCTTCATAAGTCAATTAGGCTGATGCCCTTCCTAACAATCATAGCAACGACTTTTATAAGCACATGGAACGTAGGAAACAAGCTGGTGGGCGGCCTACGCTACTTCATGAGGAGTAACAGGAGTAAGTAAGTAAGTAAGCAAGTGATTTCTATCAAGAATAATAATGATAATAATGATAGTCAAATAGATTTGTGAATATGCTGGAGTTCGTATTTTCAAATGGTAATATCTGAGCATTTCCAAATGTGTTCTATATTCATATTGAAGTTTGTCTTCTATCCATGGGAATCTCCATTAAAAATCATAGTTGATAATGTTAGAGCAAACAAGAAATGATTCAAGTGTACCGCTCCAATCAACAGTCCATTGATTTCGTTCATTGACAGTTTTATCCAGTTGACAGATTGTTTGATTCAAACCGATGAAAACGAACAATCAGGAATGTTGATCAATGAAATAATCGACATCTCACTGAACAGTTTCTCATTCTGTTCCACCTTATCAAGATCAATTTGACAAATGATGAAACATTGTATATTCACTTTGTTCGTATCATAAAGGAAAGTTGAGTTGTGATTATCTCGAAACATGAATAGACGATCAATTCAATCCATTAACTAATCATTATTTTCGTTTCTTATACATATACCCCAGATATATCATTGTATCGACTTCCGACTAATGGATTATAAACAATGATCATTTAAACAATCTGTCATTAACTCTAATGACTAATAATGTCATGATTGTTATCACTTCCATTCCACTAATAACGATACTAATTGTTACATCACATCACTGAATCTGTGTAAAGGGCGAGACAGACATCAGTAATGCCTTCTCTCTCTCTTTCTCTCTCTCTCTCGGAACACATACATTAATATGCACAAATATGTGGGTTAATACAGATAACCAATTCACATGAATAACAGTTGTTCACAATGTTCACAATGAATTGAAAGTTCATCTTGTCCATGAACAATCATTCATCAATATACTCTTAGTCAGATGGATCAAATTATTTGAATCAGATCTTCATTCAAACACTGTGTTCTGAATAGATTGTGATGAGGACAGTAAGTGAAAGGGAAACTGACTTTCTATTGTAAAATTCATTCTAGTTAAATGAGAGGAATGAATTCAGTTTCTCGTAGTGACAAAATATAACAATGTAGTGAAAGACGGATGGTGACTGTCAGTGGAAACCAGGATTCTCGTTCCGTTCTAGTTGGAAATCATCAGACGGACACACCCGCATTCGAGTTGATGTTCACTCGATGACTCGAACCCAGTACGATTCGCTTCAAACGCTATGGCAATATTCACTTAATCAACAATTGTTGATTTCTTATTTCCCTTGAATGAAACAATTACTTGACTTTGAAATAAAATGTTCAAATGTCAGATGTGTAAGAGTTAAAGGGAAGTTTTCCCGTTCGTAATCCATGTTGTGTTTGAAATTCCACTCCGAAACCTCTGTAGCATGATGATTGGAAAGTGATTGTTCGAATGGTGAAGAAACGTAACTGATTGTCAGAACTCATTTCATTTTACAATCAGTAGTTTCTTAACATTAATCACTCATTGGTCTAGTTGGTTAAGCGCCTGACGCGAGACCGATAGGTCCTGGGTTCGAACCTCACGGGGAGCGGGATCGTGGATGCGCACCGCTGAGGAGTCCCATACTAGGACGAAACGGCCGTTAAATACTTCCAGGTTCAAGATGATGATCTAGGTTCAATTGACTCATGATTTCATCCAGTGAAATCTCTCATATCGTCTGGAAGCATTGTGTATGTAAAGAGAGCTACATCCATCCTTGTGGTGAAATCGTTTGTTAGCCACTACAACACTAATTATGCGAACCTAACATCAAATGATAAGCACCGTTATTTTAGACAGATAGTGCAACTTTCAAATAAGAAGAACTTGTAGCAGTTGTAACTATACATCACGCCCTGACAAAACACAATTCTGAAAGATCGATTGTATTTCGATGATTCGCTTCCATATAATGAACATAAACAAATGCTTATTCACAATATCTACAACTGTATGAATAGCTGAGATCAGTAGAGAGAAAAGTGTGATCGATCTATGTCACAGATGATTTCAAATAAGATTGAGTTCCAAGTCGCTTGGAGAGTGCGTTGCAAAAGTTGTGTTATGTGTGATTGATGTTCAAATTCATGTACTTCAAATGTTTAGTACAAAACATCTACTCAGATTTATATGGATCGGTTTGAGGTCTTCTGTGTATGTTGATTCTAACCGTGTTCCGTAATTAATATGAGCCTCGAACTATTAAACTCTTCGGAATACTCCAACTCTATATATAACGTATCATTTCATATCCCAATCAATTTACATTCTTTGGAGAGGAATGTTTTGTGAACCCATTCGGAATCACTTTACCTTACCGCTGATGTGTTGTGCATAAAATTGTATTTACAAACAAGACTACATTGTTTGTATCGACATCAGCTAGTCGTACTTGTATATCAGATAGGATGTCAAACGTTCCCAAGTTTTCGGTTCACTCAATGAAGTCTGTTCTACCTGGGGCGATGGTGCGTAAACAATCATAAACTGATGGATGGTTCATATTGTCATTACCACTTCTGTCGATATGAATGGGAGAATCATTGAAAATACGATTTTCACTGAAAAGATCAAAATCGAATTGAACACCCCTTTAAATGAGATGTTTAATGAATAATGTTCGATCCATTGAATGGAGATTTGACGTTTGTTCCATGTTCGCATAGATCGTTTTTGTAGAACTTGATCAGCTTCCATACTTAACAACCCTTTCACAGATGAAAATACAACTTTATTTTTCTTTCATTTGAAAGATCCTGTTACATACACACGATTATTGATCGAATTGGTTACGTGATTTCAACTTCAAGTCTCAAACTGATTCCAACTAATTAACATGCGTGTTTCAATCAACGATAGGGGATGAGTGAGAATGGAAGTTAAGCATTAATTACTTGCAATATGGAAACGTGAAAGGGAACAACTAAATTAGTTTTGATTATATGTGTCAGTAAATAAAACAGAACAATCCAATGTGTTCTCAAATAGATTGCGTGATCTGTTTTATTCTCATTGATGTTTTCAATTAGTGTTCACATGAATACGAGTCAATCTAATCGAGATTTAAGATGGAACTACACTAACTACTCGAGTACTGATTAGCATGATTGATTTGAAGATATTTGAGGGTATACTCGAGAATCTTAGTCATATTGTGTTGTATGCTGTTGATGTTGACAAATGTAAGTAGTATGTATCACCAATCGAAAGTGGAATGCCTGGTAGCAGAAGGTTGAGAAGTTTGATGAGAAGAGAACATCAAGAGGCTGATGGATATGGAAATGAGAGAACAATGAAGTATGAGACAACTGATGGACATTTTGCAAAAGAATTATTTATTGTAGGGTTCTGTAATGTTGTGTTGAAATACATTTGATTGTCCCTGCATGTGTTCTCATTCACTACAATATACCAGCCTATCCATCTGAAGTGAGCATTTTCATCTAAGTAATGATTGTGTGGTAAATTGAAATCAGCCTGAAGTAATCTCCAGTGTAAGAGATGTTTCTTGAAGTAGAGATGTGAATCGACACAAACATGTTAGATAATCCCTGATCAATAGTTGAAATCATGAGTCCGTTGAAGTTAGACCAACATGGTAAACCATCCGGATCACCAGAAATGTATTATGATCAACAATTCAGTTTCATTATTGATTTATTATTATTGTTTTTACAGCATTCACTTCTCACCATCCCATCCCATTTGCATTAGATTAATGCGTTTTTAATTGTTACCAACATGAAACATGAAACTCATATCGTTGCATGTCACACGAATAATCAAGCACTAAGTCATTTCCACACTTGAAAACACCACACCACATCACATCACATCACATCCATCGAATTCATGCTTAGTTAAACAACCCATCAAACAGCTATGCATGTTCATCTGTCAATATTCTTATAAACTACTTAACAGGATGAAACTTTTGATGAAACTACTTGTTAATCGAATAGGTTGGTGAAATGCGATATGGAATGATGCTCGTCGGAGAAACACTATT